GGCCAAAATGTCTCAAGCTATGTCATCGCATGTCTCCAGGGCTCTGTCGTCTAACGGCGCAGTGCAGCCCTGCAGTAGCGCCGTTCTCGGAGCTCGAATTTGGAGTCCCGGCGAAAAAGGCCATGGAGTCATCGTGGCCTTCAGTCCGCGCCGACTATTCCCCACACTCCGAGATCCGATACCTCATAAGTAGAGCACATTGAGAGACGCCATTGAATTGAGCACTCTTTTCAAACATACCAAGACGTCGGCCATCTACCGCACAGCATGTCGTTCCCTACACTACACGCCCGCGCAGAGGCCAAACCGCTTGAGCACCGCTCATGGTGAGTCCACTGTACCCATCTCATGTATATACTGTACTAACAGAATTCCAGCCTCACTCCCACCACCACCAAGAAGCTGCTCGATGCTGGCTACCCCGTTGTCGTCGAGCGCTCGCCCAAGGACCCCAACTACGCCCGCATCTTCAAGGACGAGGAGTTCGAGCAGGCAGGCGCGACCCTCATTGAGGAAGGCGCATACAAGAACGCGCCCAAAGATGACCGCATCATCATCGGACTGAAGGAGCTACCCGAGGACAAGTTCCCGCTCGAGCACACTTTCGTACACTTTGCGCATTGCTACAAGCAACAGGGCGGCTGGGAGAACGTCCTCGCCAGGTTTCCCCGTGGTGGAGGCACCCTGTACGACCTCGAATTCCTGCAGGATGAATCAGGCAGGCGCGTTGCGGCCTTTGGCTACCACGCGGGTTTTGTCGGCGCTGCCCTGGCCATCAAGGTTAGTCGACCCCACAACTACACTGCTACCATACTGACAGCTGCTAGACCTGGGCATGGCAACTCACCCACCCCAAAGGCGAGCCTCTTCCCGGTCTAGAAACCTTCACCGAAGGGCGGGGGTACTACAACAACGAGAGCGAGCTGATCGCCCAGCTCAAGGAGGACGTCGCCGCTGGTGAGAAGGTTGCTGGCCACAAGCCCTCCAGTCTGGTACTAGGCGCCCTGGGACGCTGCGGCTCCGGTGCCGTCGACCTGCTGGAGAAGATTGGCTGCCCAGAGATCAAGAAGTGGGATCTGGCTGAGACCAAGGAGCGCGACGGCCCCTACCCCGAGATCGTCGAGTCAGACATCTTCGTCAACTGCATCTATCTCTCCAAGCCCATCCCGCCCTTTGTCAACAAGGAGAGCCTCCAGTCACCAGGCCGCAGACTCAGCGTCGTCTGCGATGTCTCATGCGACACCACCAACCCACACAACCCCATTCCCATCTACGACATCAACACCACTTTCGACAAGCCCACAGTCGAGGTCCCTGTTGAGGGTGACGGCCCTAGGTTGTCCGTCATCTCCATCGACCACCTGCCGTCTGCTCTGCCCCGCGAGTCATCAGAGGCCTTCAGCAACGCTCTGCTGCCCAGCCTCATGGCCCTCAAAGACCGAGCATCTACACCAGTATGGCAAGGCGCAGAGAAGCTGTTCCAGGAAAAGGTCCAGACTCTGCCTGGCGGCGTTCCCAAGAAGGAAGTATAGGACTTCTCGCCTGTAGGCTCATCAATGCTGATATGAAGTTACGAAATGAAGGATAGAAATGAATGACCACATGCATGGCACGGCCAACAGCACTTCAACTGGTCCCCTCTCAGTTCATCGATGATCACTTTGCTAATCAAACTCACTTTCCAAGAAGCCTTACCAAAGATTTCCTGACGCTTGTCCTCTGCGTCTATACCTGCTTACATCTCAACATTCCAGAGCATGGGAGAACAAAGTGGTACCGAAACTTGCCGAAGCAGCTAATCTGGGCACTACTCTGTATCTTTACTCTAGAACTGATGGGAATTATGCTTTGTCATTACGAGGCTTTGCGAGCTATCCCGCATACTACAAAGGTCACCAACGTCGCTTTGGTGCAGCAAATCGCCGAAGGCCAACTTGAGAAGGACATGAGCAAGGCACTTTCCCTACATGATTCGGCGGATGATGCAATGAAAAGACGAGCGCTGCCCGTTCAGCGCACCCGAACATTCTCTTGGACAAGACTGCATAGTCACTACGTTCTTCTGGGCGGATCTGTACTTGATCGCAGTGGCTTGGGACCTAACGCGGTCCCCGGTCAGCGCGAGCGTTTTACACTTACAGCAGCCGGCGCACTGAAGCTCGCGGAACTTGAACCAGACATGATTCCAGATATTGATGCCGAGTAGATCCGCGACAAGGGCAAAGCCGACGCTTTTGTCAAGACCCTGGCGTGTGTATACAAGCGCTGTGGGTCCTGATTCAGATTATCGGTCGACTCGGCACAGGCTACCCGATCAGTGTCCTCGAGATCACTACGTTCGCCCACGCTTTGTGCTGCCTAGCGATCTACTTCTTATGGTGGGACAAACCTTTAGGCGTTGACGCTCCTACCTTCATCAAAATCCCGGGTGAGCGCTGAGAAAGCATTTGCGCATAGTTACTCATGGCAAGCTGGTTGGGGGGCTTCTCGACAAATCTGTTACAAAAGCCACGGCGAGGCCATTTCGACTCAATGGATAGGTCATTTGGTATGCAGACCCTCCAACGAGCTTCCACTTGTCGGCAGAGACGATGAAATCCGAGCCATCACTGAAAACGGCACACTGCAAAGAACAGAAAATCCATTCTTTCTCAAGTCTATGGAAGGAATCCATGACATCTACTTCGTGACCGCGAGTGGCCCTATCATGCTAGACTGCCTGCCATTTAAGAGAGGCTAGGTTCTGACCCTGTCGTCAGCAGATGTTCGGTGCCTTGAACAAGCTCATCATTTGATGCAGGGCGAGCCTCAATGGGATATTCCGTACAGCATTCACCGCGCTAAGCGATCCGAGCAGTCTCGGGCCATGACAAAGCTGCTGAGCGACGCAATAGGAGAAGCATGGGAGACTAGACCACACCCAGCAAACGAATACCTAGCATCTCATGCCTTCAACTTTCGCCGTGTCGGCGAAACCCTCAACTTCTGTCAACCGCATCATGGCGATACACCAATCCGCATCTAAAGCAAACGCTGGACCCAAGGCCAGCCCAACGAACTGCCCTTGTATCAGCGGAGAGATCGCCACGCAGCGCGTTGCTGGTCTTCACGTTGCCTCGACCGCATAAAGTGTTTGGTTTCGCGTTTCACCGAGCAAACCAATCGTTCCAGATGGAGACATTTCCATCGCTTGCAAAGCATAGCAGTCGTATGGTGTGATGGCGTCGCCACACATAGCTTTTCAGAACCAGCAAATCATGTATTGGTGACAATGAGCGGCATGATGTGGCACTGCCTATGGAGCGTTGCATCTTCTGGCATGGAATGCTCATTTCCACACGCGGCCTGAAAAAGTACTGTGGCGAATATAGGCATTTGTTTTCACTGCAGTTGCCCACATCATGACCATGTACGCCGTTGTGAGACGCGCTTTAATCTCGCACATCAATTGCAGCCGCGGTGGCAACACTCAATTGGGGACAGAAGCGTGGCAATCATGGCGTCCGCCGCTTGCCGCCAAAGTCGTCTATGTCTGCATTTTATTTGGAGTGCATCTGCTTTATGTGTGTGCTCGGGTGTATCTGGTCTAGGAATGCTTTGTCAGTGTACTGTATGTACCTGAGAGGGTCTACGAGCAACCGGCGTGGATTCGTTATGTTCCGCAATTCAGTGCTAGACAGAACACTTGAACGAGAATTGTCCTAATGCTTTAAACTGTAGCACTTACTGTATCATTCGTGTCGTCTTTGCGAAGGTATGTCCTCGTCAATTACCGACGATGGCTCTGTGTGAGCGGAGCCTTGGCAAGTAAGACAGCCTTACGCGTCAAATGAGGATCAACACGCGAGAAAGACCGCCCCGCCCCGCCTCAACAACGTCCTCACGCCGAGAGACACTCCATCAACAAATTCGCAGCGCGCAAAGAACGCGATAATCGCAAACCGCCTCTTCAACATTCGTGCGACTGCTTGCAATGCGCCACAGACGGGGTGCAATGTTCGCGCGCCAACCGTGTCAGAAGTGCTCACACCGCTGCGCAGAATGTCTGTATTTTCCCGGACGTCAGACGTGACGGACCTCTTATCCTACTCCAAGCGATACCGAATCACCAATAGCTATTCATAGAAATGGCTTGCATGTAGATCGGATCGATCACGACGACAAAGGTAAGTGTACAGCGCCTACCTTCGCGGTCATGCTAGAAGAGCCGAGTACCGCAGCATGAACCTGAACAACCATCGCGGGATACACCGCCGAATGGTTTGCTAAGCACCCGTCTACACTTTCATCCCTAGTACGGGTGTCTAGCGTTGTTCTGTCTGTTCCAAACTTCTAATCTACTTAACTTTCGTGCGCAGCCTTTGCGACCCTGGCGAGTGGCTTTGCTGTTGTTTCGGTAAGAACCTTAAAAGCCACGCCAGACACCCGGGGGGAGTGTAGGCGTCGCGGCATGTCAGATTGTCTCGGGCCTACTCAAGCGACCAAATGAACGTTTATAGCACCGTCTTACCTCGATTTCCAAACATCGACTTGTCATCTCATCCATCCACATTCCTTACAACAACCTGGTTTTTCCAAGTATCTCATCCATCCACGTTTCCCACACCAACCTGGTTTATCCAAGTATTTCAGTCCTATAGCCTCGGTAGCAGACACGCGCTCGCTTTGTTACTATGTGGAATCAGCTTCGCTCCTCCTTCGGCTTCCTAAAGCCGCCAGAGTCCATGCATCGATACATGCCTGTCGGGCAGGTGTCCGCCACACGCTCCCGCACCCGACTAGCAATCATAACGGCATCCTGCATCGTCGTCACTCTCACTATCCTCTCAATATCTACTCACCCCCTGGAGAAGGCGAGGCAGTATGGGATACTCAAGTCTAGCGAGTCATCCGTGCATGACCCTATACCCAGCATCGTACATTATGTGCAAATAAAAAAGGACGCAAACTCAATCCTGAAGTTTCCGTTCTCAAGCTTCCTGACTATGTGCGCCGCAGTCATGTACATTGAGCCGACACAAATCTACATGCATACCGACTTCAACGACACCGAGATTAGGAATGCCAGCGAGCACGGTGATTGGTGGACCAAGGCAGTCATCAACACCTTCGCAAACATCACCACCTGGAATCGAGTGGATGTGCCCAACTTTGCCGGCCAGAACCAGGACCAGCAAATATCCGCCATCCAGCACAAGTCAGACTTCATCCGCTGGGAGGCGATCGCGAAGATTGGCGGGATCTATATGGATTGGGACGTTGTACCTCTGCGATCTCTGACGCCCCTGCTCGAAGCTGGCTTTGCCTTTATCGGCGGCCGACATTATGGCGGCGCACGCGAAGGCGGTGGCATCAACGGCACCATCAACAACGGTGTCTTCTTGACCAAGCCAAACAGCACAATGGCGCGAATCGTCGTGCGCGAGCAACATGCCGGCTTCGACGGAAAATGGGAAGCAAATCTACAGAGCATGACCAAGATCGCGGAGCGTCTCGTCCCAATCCCGAACGAAGTCCTGATACTGGACCGCACCGCTTTTGCCCCAACACACTGGTTCAAAGAGAGCACCGATCCTCTCTTCAAACCCAACGAAGGCAATCCATCGCCTGTTCCCCAGCTCATCAACTCCACAGACCCGATGGAACTGTACGACAATGCCATTGCAAATAGACGAAGGCGTGCGCAGTGGGAGATGGACTTTTCTTCGACATACATGCTGCATGGATTCGCCATGCATGAGTACTACAAGTACATCAACCCGAGCACTATCTTGAGCAGGACCAGCAACTTTGGAGTCGCGACATACGATATTGTGAGACATATGGTGGACCAGGGTTATATCAGCGGAAACGAAGGGGATAACAGACCCGAATCATAACAGGTACATACCGACTTGTAGTATAGATTTCATTACGTTCGTGTACAATAGACAAGGTTGTTACCTGTAACTACTAGGTTAAGACCCTGTAGCTAAAGCATTATCAACTTCTTACAACTAATTTATCTATCTACTTTACTTATAAAGCTAGACTATCGCTGTAAGAACACATCTATTTATATTATTAACTTCTCTATATATCTATATTATAGACCTAGTCTTTGTTTTAATATAAAGAGATATCTTTATATAAATAATATAATTAGACTACACTTACTTACTTATCTATAATATAATAGTAAAGACCTTTTTTTAGCTTATAAATTTAGCTATAAATATAGTTTCTAAAACTATCTATAGATAAACTTATAATTTTATAACTTATTAGCTAGTTTTTAAAAAGTAAAGTTTACTATAAGTATACTAAAAAAGTAAAACTAAAGATTTTACTTACTTCTAAAAAAACTTAAGACTAGAGCTTAAAGCTTTTGTACTACTACTTAATAATAATTAAAACTAATAAACTTAGACTAAGAGTAAATTTATTTTAATATTAAATTTTTTTACTTATAGAATTTAACTCTTAATTATTTTAAAAGTTCTTATATAGTTACTTAAGTTTAATAGCTTATAATTAATTAAGTAAGATTTTTAGATATTTATTATTAATAGAGATAATTATAAAATCTTAATTATAATTATTTATTTTAAATTTAATAGAATAAATAAAGAATTTTGTAATTATATCTAAACTATTATTAGCTTAGATCTCTTTTTAGATCTAATATAAATTTAAGAAAAAGATTTTTTCTAAGTTACTTAAGAAATTAAAGAGAATAGTATTATTATTTACTAGTTCTAAAATATTACTAAATAATAGTTATAGACTTTACTATAAAATGTTCTTAGCTAGAAAGCTTTAGAAGCTTTGTTTAATTTTAACTAAGTTTAGAAAACTTAATTAAAGTCTATTACTATCTAAAAAGCTTTTACTTTAATAGCTATTTTAATTAATAACTATTTATTAGTATTTATTTTAAAATTATATAATTTATAATTATTAGAGCTAGAGATAATTAATAATTAAAGATAATTAAGTATATTATAATTATTCTACTATAAAAGAAAGTTAGAATAAAATCTTTAGCTATATACTTAAGAGCTAAGCAATTATATATTTATAATTAGATAATTATAACTACTCTCTAACTTTAATATACTTTCTAGAGTAGTAAAAGTATTAATCTACTTTACTAAAACTAATTCTATTAAATTTACTATAATTAGTATACTTTAGTAAAGTCTAGGCTTAAGAATTTAGAGTATAGTAGTAAGTTATAGCTTAATTAAGCGTTTAATTATACTTAATACTAATAGTAGTAAGCTCTTACTTATTTAAATAAAGTCTAATATTTTAGAAATTAACTCTATTAGTTTAAAAATTACTTTATAATAGTTTAAAATATAGCTAATAGCTATAAAAATCTAAGTATATAACTAGTAAGAGCTAATTCTAATAGTAAAATCTAAGCTTCTAATCTTTTTTAAAGAAAGTTTATAGTATAATTAATAGCTTAATAAGCTATACTAGCTACTTATATAAGTACGCGCTTAGAGTAGAATTAGAGACTTTATAATAATAAGTTTTCTAATTTTTTTCTTCTTTACTATAATTATCTACTTTTATATTATTAAGATACTTAAGCTAATAAGCTAATAAGCTACTTATTTAATTAACTTATTTTCTTAAAATTCTTAGCTCTTAAGCTTTAGCGCTCTTAAGCTTTATATCTAATTCTTTACTCTACTTAATATACTACTCTACTTACTTTTTTATTCTTTTTATTATTATAGTAAGTTTTTACTTTTAAACTTAAATTAATAGCTAACTATTATAATTTAGTTTAATAACTTAACTTCTAACTTTAATAATAGCTATAAGTGTTAGCACTCTAGCTTTTATTATAATAGTATTTTATACTTTAATTATAATACTTTTAGTAGTAGTAATTATAATATATAAGCTAGTACTTAGCGTAATAGCGCTTAGTATAATAGTACTCTACTTAATAACACTCTACGCTTAAGCGCTTAACTTTTTTACTTTACTTAACTTTAAGTATTTACTAATTAAGTTCTACCTCTTTCTTCTAGAATAATAGTAGCTAATAGTCTATTTTCTAGTCGTAGCTTTATATAAAGTAATTAAGCTTTTAATACTTAACTATTTTAAAGCTTTATAAAGTCTAATAATTAACTAGATTAAAGCTTTATAGTATTTAGAAACTCTAGTAATAACTTCTATAAGAATTATAAGCGCTTAGATTTATATATTAAGTATACTTACTTAGGTTATAAAAGCTCTTAGTTTAATAATAATAACCTTAATAATAAGAATATCTAAGAGACTATTAAGTCTATTTCTAAAAGTAGTATTTTTATTAAAAATAATACTTTCTAAACTTATAGTTTAGGCTTTTAGTAATTTAACTATATTAAGAACTAAAGTATTTATAATTAAGAGAAGTAAGTATCTCTAAGTAAAAACTATAGTTATAGTTACTTTTTTAAGAAGTCTAAAAATAAAACTTCTAAGTTTAAAACTTTTTTAGATTATCTATACTTAGTATATACTAGTTATTAGTATAAGTAAGTTAAAGTAATACTTAACTATAATACTTTTTAATATCTTTAGTATAAGTACTATATCTATTAGTAACTTCTTAATAATATTCTAAAGCTTAATTACTTTAAGTAACTTTACTAAGTTATATAGTATTTATTCTATAACTCTTATAATTACTATCTAGCTAACTAAGATCTTTGTAATTACTTTATAAGTATAGTAAATTACTCTAGTACTAAAGTAAGTTTATAATTTTTTTTTTTTTAGCTCTTTTAATTTTTTACTAACTTAATAATAGTGCTAAAGCTTTAAAAATACTATTAAGTATTATAAGTAGCTCTATAAAGATCTCTATACTTATAAAAAGTAGAAAAAAAAAGCTAAAAGTAGTTCTAAAACTTTAGCTAAATTATTAGATAAAACTTTTAAGTTCTTAAGTAAAAAAAGCTTAAAAAGTACTTTATCTATAACTTTCTATAAGTCTAATTAATATAGTGCTTATAGTAAGTTTATAATACTAAGTAAAAGAATAAAAAGAATTAATATAAGTAGTAGCTAAATAGCTTTACTTATAATTTCTACTTAAAGTTATCTACTTATAGCTTTTAATCTAATACTATAATACTTAGAATATTATTATTAGAGCTTATTCTAGTAGCTACTACTACTAACTTTCTAGCTATAGCTTTCTTAATTTAGAAATTAGCTACTATAAAATTAGTAGTAGAATTAGTATAGTTATTATTAGTTTTAGTAGCGTAACTACTAGTTTTAGTAGTATAATTATTAGTTTTAGTAGTATAATAATTAGTTTTAGCTATATAATAATTATTTTTAGTATTATAATTCTTAGCTATATAGTTATTAGTTTAATAGCTCTATATCTAGTATTATAAGTAATAAGTTCTACTACTATACTTAGCGTCTACTAGCTATAGCTAAGTATAAGAAGGTAATAATATATACTAAGTATAATTAAATATAGCTTAAAATTTATATATAGGCTTAAGCTACTAAGACTACTTATCTATAAGCTTAAGTTAAGAATTTTAAAAATAGCTAAAATAGTAAGCTAGCTCTTAATAAGAATAACTATAAAAGTTATAATTAGAGAGATTACTACTATAGTAGTTAGTAAGTTAGTAGCTATATAAGTTAGTTTAGTAAAAAGGTTTAGTAATTTAGCTACTTTATACTTATCTTAATTATTAGTAATTACTTCTTTATAACTAAGTACTATTTAGAGTAACTAAGATTTAGCTTAAGTATAATTAATTTTTATAGTAGTACTTTAAATAAAGATCTCTTTACTTTATCTACTTCTTAAGAATTAAATATTATAAATTTTATAAGTTAAGTAGCTATTTAAACTTCTTAAACTATTATTAAGTAAGTAATTTAGTTAATCTATCTATAAGTATAATTATAGTCTTTAAATACTTAATTTTAAATAATTCTTTAGTATATTTCTACTATAGCTATATATTCTAAATATTAATATACCTAAGCTAAGTATTAATATACTTATTTTTTTTAATAACTAGCTTAATAGTTTACTAATTATTATACTAGACTATCTAGAGTTTTCTAAAATTAAGCGCTAGCTTTTTAAAAAAGCGCTTAAGCGCTATAGCTTTTTTAGTAGTATACTTAAAAGTAAGTAGCTTTACTTTTATAGTAGAGATAGTAACTATACTTTACTTTATAGCTTTCTAAAAAATTACTTCTTTATATAATATAGTAATATATCTATAAAATAATTAGTAAGTCTTTAAGTTATTAGTAAAAAATATATTTTTAGTAATTATTAAATTAAGCTTATTATAGTTACTATACTAGATTATATTAAAGTAGGTATAGTAAAGATATATAATTACTTACTTTATAGCTTTTTTATACTTATTACTTAAGTTTATAAAAAAGTAAAAAAGCTTTAAGATAGTATACACTATATTTAGTTAAAGTATAATTACTATATAAAGTATAAAGCTAACTATTTTTTAGTATTTTTTAATTTTAAGCTTAGTTACTTCTTTAGTATTCTTAATTAGCTTCTCTAATAGTAAAAGTGTTAGAGAAAAAAATCTATTTCTAAGCTTAAACTTCTTAAGTATTTTATCTATATATATATTATAAATAAGTATAATTATTTTTAAATATTAGTCTTTAATTATATAAATACCTAAAAACTACTTTATATCTCTCTAATCTTAGATTTTATACTTACTAGAGATCTTAGCTTATATAGCTATTATATATTACTCTATACTTTTATAATAAAGTAATAGAATATTATTAATATAAAAAAGAATAAGAATTTTATATTTTTAATTAAAAAAAAAATAGAGCTTCTTTTAAGAAGCTATTATACTAA